GGGAAGGAAATTTGAGGGGGGGAGAGGAGGAAGGTAATTGGAGGGGGAGAAGGAAGGAAATGAGAGGGAGGGGGAGAAGAAGGAAATGAGAGGGAGGGGGAGAAGAAGGTAATTGGAGGGGGGGAGAAGGTAATGAGGGGGGGGAGAAGAAGGAAATTGGAGAGGGGGGAGAAGAAGGAAATTGGAGAGAGGGGGAGAAGAAGGAAATTGACGGGGGTAGGGGGAGAGATTGACATCCATCACACACACACACACAATGCACCCCTTGCACACAGAAAAACACACAGTGCATTACACACAGACACACATACACAAGCAATGCATCCCTTACACACAGCAACACACAATGCACCCCTTACACACACTCAGTGCATCCCTTACAGACGCACACACTGCATCCCATACATACACAAACTCACCTTGCAGCCCTTACACATACAAACACAGATTCACACAATGCATTCCTTACACACATCAGGACATCCCCACACACACACACACCCCTGTGAACAAACTCATTGGTGGAACATGAAGGTGGACCCTGGGACCCAGACCTTGAGCTGTGTAAAGGGCCCCCCAAAAAATGGAGCTGCTTCCCGTTCTCCCAGAACATTGATTTTTGTGACCACAGTTACAAACCGCCTCCAGAGAGCCTGTTCTACACCAGACCAGTGGAGCCAGACTGCAGCTAGAGCCCATCATCATCCTCATCTGGTTGTAAGTAGACAATCTAGTATATTATTCGTGGCACTAATCTCTAATTTACCTCACATTAAAGGGACACTATAGTCCCCAGAACCACTGCAGCTTAATGTAGTGGTTCTGGTGTCTATAGCCTGTCCCTGCAGGCCTTTTATTGTAAACACGGCGGCACTGCAGCACTGTGTTAGTTAACATGGCAGATCATATGGGTGGGGTATTGTGATATCACATGGGGGGCGGCAAACTTTACTTTTGCCTAGGGCGGCAAAAATTCTTGCACCGGCCCTGCAGACACTGCATCCCTGTGGGCGGACTCTGGGGGGGGACAGGGGGGGACTCGGGTGCAGGCACCGGGGGGCCCAGACCTTGAGCTGTGTCAGGGGCCCCAAAATTTCTGATGGCAGCCCTGCTTCCAGGTTTGGCCAGGTTTAGAGAAAGTCATCCACTACTGTGTATTCCAGATCCAGAATGCACTGAAGAATTCTGCGAACTGATGGTTGGTGCAGGAAGCATACAGACTCAAAAGGAAAGGCCCCCTCAGTGAGGCTAGAAGAGCGAACATCTCCAAGTCTAGATGCCAATCGCAAATGTCCTTCCCAGAGAGCCATCCAAAGTTAGTTTCAATTCCCCTATAAGGCACTTCAACGTAATGTTTCAAGCTAGACAGAGATCATATAGTTCCTTCATTAAGTCTGTTAACCAGTGAGAGTAAGCACCCCCTAACTAATTGATTTAGCATACTAAGGACACATTGTCCATCCAGAGCAGGATCCAACAGTTGGACCTACCTTTCGCTAGGCTGTTAAAGGCGAAGGAGCCTCCCAGAAGATCCAGACAATTGATATGTGTGAAATTGTTTATTCGTTAAATTACATTTTTCTTGGGTAAAACTACTGAACACCGACCACCCCCCTGGCTTATTTACTTCAAAGAAAACCACATAATTAAGTGCTCTCCCTGTGTGGCCGCCGTTTGTATAGTTGAACGCAATGTGCAGGAGAAAACGGTGGCCATCTTGTTCACACGAAAGGAGGCAGCGGGACTTGGTAGTCGAGTGTCTGGAACTAAAATCAGACACTCGACTTCCCTATCGCTGGTCAAACTTTGCAAACGCCTGCTTCCTTTCCAGGAAGAGCGCTATTCAGTAGTTTTGTTCCCACGAAATAGGGGAACAAACGCTACCTATGAGCCAGGGGGTACTGTTCATGGATTTGTTCGGTTTACAGACTTTCCGAAATAGATCGATAGCACAACCTAAACTCATGGAACTACTTCTGGGCAGGAGCCTTGTGTGCGGTCGGTCAAACTAAAACCTCCATGAAACTCTTAAACCCCTGATCTGATCTGGGTGATTTTTGATTATGTTGGTCACCCAGATCAGGGCTATCAGGGGACATAACTTTTGTGGGGTTCCTAGGAAGTTTGGGGCACTTTACAAGTTTTGTGAAAATGTGTGCTTTTTGGGTTTGGAAATAATTGAGTTTAGCATAGTACTTGACTCAATTATCTCCCAAGTACAGGGGTAGATTTGTATTACTGTTGTAGGAGTGTCCTGGAACTGTAGTGTTAATGGAACTGTGAAATTTAACTTTTCACTGGCCCCTCTCAGGTCCATTGGGGAATGCCCCTTGAATATGTCATTGGAAACGCTGTAAGTTTGTAACCACATAAAAGCCAGGCGGTTAGCCTGAATAAAATCAGTTCTGTTGTACCCTTCATTTAGTCTAGGCTGATGTTTGGGTAACTGTCTACTTGCTGTGGAGAAGCTGTGG